AGACACAGTGGTTGTGAATGCGCAACCGTGGTCCAGTGAAAGGAAAGTAGGTAGCGGTCACTCCTCCCGAGCTGCTGTAAGTTCTGTAGTAATGAGTTCATTGAGTTGTAGAGCGCAGGAGGGAAATCCTTTGTCAGCCTCATCTGTTCCGTATCACACTGGGCTTGATGCGTGTTGTTGCATTACGACGTTTCTCGAGGGTTCGTCGCAATTGCAGTGACAGCCGCAAGCTTCCAGCATTCTCAGCGAATGTTTGTCTAGCAGCCGCTTGAAACTTTCCTCGGATTGAGCGTCTGCAATTTCTTCCGGTAGGCTGTTCCAATCATTCACCACTCTAGTGGATAGAGTGACGTCCTTGCGAATTCTGTCTTCTTTGCTTAAACAGTTTCCATGTGTGACCTCGTGTGAAACAGTCAATGTTGGGCCGGAAGAATTGTTGTAACTCACTCACTTCGGAGGATGCGCCTAGTGTAGATGAGATCACTCCGGCGACAGCGGAGCTCGAGGGAGAACAGAGTTAGCTGCTGGAGCCGAATGGGGTTCGGGAGACCGCGAAGCCCCAGAAAGCTTTCGATGCACGTCTCTGAACCTTTTCCAGCAGAGCGCATTCAAACTTTGAAAGCGGATGGCTAGCTGGTAGGCCACATTCTAAGATTGGACGGACGTACGGAGTGAACAAAGGTCGAAAAATCTCGGGAGTCATTCGAGCGAATGATCTTCGTAAGGCACCCACCAGCCCCCTTCCAGTGGCCACCTTCTGCAACGTGTCCTGCGTTGTTCTAAGGTCAGAAGTCACGATAACCTCGAGATCTCTCTCGTTAGTGGTATTCCTGAGGAGAAACCCACCAATGTGGTATGCATCGTAGGGTTCAGTGCCACCCATTGGGAGAACAGCGCATTTATCTCGGTTTACTGGCAGTTCCCACTTGACGGACCATTCGTGTAGCTGGTCTAGAGCCCCTTGTAATCTGTCCGCATCCTCAATGCTGGATACCGTTGACCAAAGCTTGAGGTCATCGGCGTAGATCAAGCAGTCGGTAGATCGTTAATGTACAGTTTGAAGAGCTCCGGTCAAAGCACTGACCCTTGTGGAATGCCACTAGTCATTGGCACTGGAGCAGAGGGTTTGGTTCACTTGTACTCGTATTGTCCTACCTCTTAAGAAATCGGCAATCCAGGAGCGAAGATTTCTTGTAATTCCAATTCCCTGGAGTTTATGTAGCAGTCGTACGTTTGGAACCTTATCAAAGGCTTTGCTGAAGTTAATGAAAATTACGTCAACCTGTTTTCGGACATCTATGGCTTCTGCCCATGTTCCCCTGGCGGTAAGTTAGTAATGCATGAGCGTGCTCTCCGGAAGCCATGTTGAGCAGGTGAGATGAGGTTTAGATCCACACAGTGTAGCTGGAGGGCGCACTGCTACCATTGAACTTAAACGGCGAACTCAACAAGGTGAGAGCAACATACATATCGTAAATTTTAGAGTAGTGCAGAAGCGCCAGCTGATAAACAAGCCGGTGTTGCTGATGGCGCGCGCCCCAAGCTAGTTGCCGGTCTCACTGTGGCGCTTACGAACGTTCGCAGCCTCACCAATAAATTTGATGAGGTACATCTCTGGGTAGAGCAACATTGCACAGATTTATTTTGTCTGACTGAAACATGGCGCCACGGTGATATTACTGATCCTGAAATTCACATCGATGGATACACGACATTTCGGTGCGAACGACCCAAGGGCGCTCATGGCCGTGTAGTTATATATAAAGTCCAGCATGAGAGGGGGATTCATATCTACACATTATAGTGCCGACGGCCTATGCGAACAACTTTGGTGCAGAGTTACTGTTGGGCCGAATGAACTGGGAGTGGGAGCGATTTATCGGAGTCCTTCAAACACTTCCCGTGATTGGATCGACGTAGTGCAGCAGCGCTTGAACTGCCGAAATTTTCTGTTGCTTGGTGATTTTAACTTTCCACACGTTGATTGGCCGCATTATAAAGCTCTACCTGGCAGTAGCAATCTCGAATGCGCTTTTGTTGATACAATGGCGGAGATGCACGCTGTGCAACATATCTTGCAACCAACAAGGCAGCTTCCGGGGCAACCTGAAAGCTGTCTTGATCTACTTCTCACGAACGATGAGCAACATGTCGAATCCGCCAAAGTATTTGAACCCATTGGGTCCAGCGATCACTCTACGACTTCAGCCGTCCTACGTTTGCCATCTGTTGTATCATTACGAATACCCCGTCGTAACATTTGGAAAGCAAACTGGGATCGGTTGATGAGTACTGCGGGACACATGGACTGGTCATTACCTTTGAATGGCGGTGTTGAAGTGTGTTGGGAGGTGTGAAGCAAAACCTTGTTCAGTTACTAGACCAATTTGCTCCTTTAACACCAATAAAATGTTGGAAGAGGCCGCCATGGATGGATAGCGAATATGTTGTCATGTCGAGGCGACGTGCAAAATTGTGGAAGAGGTTCAAACAAACTCATAGCGCCGAAGATTACACAGCTTACAAAACACAAAGAAACTGTTGCAATTCAGTGAAACTACAGAAGCGTGCGACTTATGAAACATGCTTATCAGCAAATGCGAAGGAGGCACCCAAAAAGGTTTTTGCATACATCAAGCGCAAGCTTAAGCCAACTGACGAGTTACCTGCTTTGGAAAATTCGCTTGGTGCACTGTTGACTGCCGACAAGGACCGAGCTATCGCACTTGCTCCACATTTAGAGTCAGTGTTCGACTCAACTTCTCCAGCATTTCAGTGTACCCAAGTCGACGCCAAACTGGATACAGTATCCTGTTCAGAGGACCAAGTAAGGGGATTGCTTGCTAATCTAGACTGCTCCAAACCGCCAGGACCTGACGGCTTGCATCCACTACTTCTCAAAAGGCTGGCACCTGTTACCGCACCTGCAGTGACGGAATTGTTCGAGGTCTCTTTGACACAAGGGAACGTCCCACGTGAATGGAAGCAAGCGATCGTACGACCCTTCCCGAAAGGAGGAAACAGAAGCAGAGTAGAGAACTATAGACCGATTTGCCTGACACCAGTGCTGGCCAAATTGCTGGAGAAAGTTGTCAAGAAGGCGCTGCTTGAGTTCACAGAATCACACGGTGTGCTTACATCAGTTCAACATGGTTTCCTAAGAGGATGGTCTTGTACCACGAATCTTCTGACTTCCCGACACAGTTGGATTGAAGCAGTTAATGACGGTAGGAGCGTTGATGCCTTGCTGATTGACTTTAGCATAGCATTTGATAGAGTGAATCACTTTATCTTGCTATCAAAACTCAACAGTTATGGCATTGGTGGAAAAGTGCTAAAATGGATTCAGTCTTTTCTGGACAAGCGGCAGTGGTGCGTCCAGGTCAATGACTACCGAACGAAATGGTGTACTGTCTCTAGTGGTGTGCCACAGGGCACAGTACTTGGCCCAACGCTTTTTCTGTTTCATATCAACGACTTACCAGGACGTTTGACATCTACTTGCGCGCAGTTCGCAGATGATTTGAAAGTATGGAGGGAAATATCGACCCCCGTCGATGAGGATATACTGCAAAGTGATCTCGATACAGTCTCCTCATGGGCATCAACAAACTGCCTTCCACTGAGTGCTGAGAAATCCGAATTGCTCTGCATTGGCAAGTGCTGTCGGGACAGAACTTACAGTATCGGTGGACGTCTACTGTGCTCGGCTGCGACGGTTAGAGATCTAGGAGTACTATCCCGATGGGACTTAAAATCGTCAGACAATACGTACAAGGTCTACTGTTCCAGCCTTCGTATGTTTTGGTCATTAAAGCGGACCTTCCACGTTTGGTCGGAGGAAATTGCTGTCAGGCTATACGTCTCCATGGTGCGCCCGCTTTTAGAATACGGAGCACCGGCCTATTACCCAAGTACAAAAAGTGAGATGAGAAAACTGGAAAAAAGTCCAGCACCTAGTCACCCGCCTGATCCCCACGCTCCGAGGCTTATCTTACCACCAGAGGTGCCACAAGTTACGTCTCCATACACTAGCATACAGGAGATTACGAACTGACCTCATTACAACGTTTAGAATCCTTCACCTGAGACATATGTTCTGTATTGTGGATGCACCTATCACCCGAGGGCATTCTTACAAGCTGGAATTTCCACGTATGGACAATGTCACTCATATTCATTGCTTCGCGCGACGTGTGATACATTTCTGGAACTGGTTGCCCAGTACCGTTGTTCTTTCTGATTCAGTGCAGTGTTCCAAACGAAGCATTGACAAACATTTTTCAGACTTGTGTTTCGATGCAGACGCCATGTTTGACCTCCTTTCGTCGCGTGGTTATGTCACGGCTACACTAGCAACCCTAAAAGACCAAGACACGTAGTGCTTTCATTGTGCTTATCGGTATTTTGTTTGCTTGTTACTAAACGACTATTGATGTGCATTCACACAGACCCATATTCGGCATGGGTCACTTTTGCTTTACTTATGATGGAGATCACATAGATTCCTATCTTATTCTCCTAATAAATTGATTCTGATTCTGCACTTGACTATTCATTCCGTGGTTTAGCATACGACTGATGTCAGACATATTGGCCGGTAGTTGGCTGGGTCTTGTTGGTTTCCACCCTTGTATTTGGGCAGGACGGTACCTGCTTTCCAGCCTGTGGGTAGGCAGCCGACTACGAGGGATTGCCGAAACACCTGGCAGAGAGGGGCGGCGACGTACTCAGCTATCGTTTTGAAGAAGCTGGGATGCAATCCGTCCGGGCATGAAGAGGAGTTCGGGTCCAGTTCGAGGAGTCGCTTAGTGAATAGTTCGGGGTTAATTTCAACTTGGTCCATAGAGGAGTGGTGTGCAGGCAAAGTAATGAAGCAAGGAGACTTCTTTTACAATAAAAGTATGTCCAATTGTAATCTATCAATAAGAAAAAACTATGATTATGAAGGATTTAAATAAACTTAATAATTAAAGTAAACTTAACATTATTTAACTTACATTATTCTACATAAGAGTGGCTGATTTTTGACATGAATAATTGGCCTGCAGGGACTTCGTGTTCCGGTACACCAGGCTAAATGGTGAAGCTTGGGAGCTGGGCTCTAACCAAGGGCGGAATTTTGGTTACGGGCCGAGGTTAAATGGAACAGCAGGTATCAATTTGGCAATGGCGAGCGTTAAGAAATAATTAAAGAGGTTTCAATAATAAAATGGAATGCACTTAGTATATTTATAGGGAGGTAAAGTAAGTTAAGTTAAGTAAATTTTGTACCGAGTTCGAGTAACCACTGACCGCTTATAAAAGGCCGTCGCAGTAGACTGCTGAAATTGCTTCACATCGTGTTCCATGTCCGCAAATGTTCGCGAATATGTAATTTCACTAAACGAGTAAACGAAGGAAGATCGTCCACCATAATGGCAGCTTCCAGCCATGCGCCGCGGCTCATAACTGCACTTTCGTTAGCTACTTGAACAACAACAGTGTTAAAATCTACAAACTTTAATATTACCACCTACCATAAATGCTCCTGAAACTCTTCATTATACACCACACAACATCAATAAGCAACATAGTCCACATGTAGCATGGCGTACCAAACCACCCTCCCCAACTTATCAGCACACCACTTTGGTTAGAATCCCGGTCCGGTGAAGCTTTCACAATGGGATAAGTATGTACAAAAATGGTAGTTGGTAAAATTTACTAGTTGTAAATTTCGCTTTCATTCATCGCGACTTCAAAAAAACAAAAAATAATCAGAAAAGGGATATGTAGACCCCTTATACAAGCAAGTAATTTACTGCAAAACATAAACTTTACATACGTGAAACGAATACACCTATACGCTCCATAAAACATCCGTTCACACTCCACTTTTATTTACCATTTGCCTGCTTTCCATTATGCCTTGAACTCCAACTACACATATAGTCAACACTTTAATTTATAATAACCATTTTCATGAAGCAAATATATATAGCATTTTCTTCTGTTTCCAACACCTTAACGCCATTAAAATTAATGAATATACTCTGCAGCCACTCAAGCTAACTTGGAGGTTACCGAGGACAGTGGTAGCTGAGCACTTTCCCGCCAATACAGAAATTAGCCCTTCCCATTCTACATAATCGTGCGCGTGAAAATCGATGCTCCATCAGGTTCAGTAGAACAAACGCTCATTAATGCAGGGCGGTATAGCAATGAAAAATTTAGTACAAGTTGCAGGGAATATACGTGCATTTTGTGCAGCAGAGCCCTCGCATACCGGCATTTGTTTGTTGTGGTGCAATCAAACGTTCCGATGACGCCACCCCCGACCTCAAACCAATGGGATCAGCTCTCGACAGGCTGTAACCGGGAATATGTACTCCCGGAGCTGGGATTGCTGGGGACCGCCACGTCTCTGTAAACGCCATACGGTCTGGGAAGAGTACTGACGCAAGGTGCACAACTTCATCTAATATCTTAAGTAGACTACTTACGTTCGCAAAAAGTATTTGCTATCCTGTTGTTGAACGCAATGTCCGGGAAAGACGACAACCGTTGTAGCGCCCAAAAGGATAACTGCTAGCTTTCATGCATAAGTTAATTTTTGACCGATTGTACATTATTCCTTTTTGTTTTAATTTTCCTTACAACCGGCTCGACACTGGACTACCTTGTAAGTTCCCGCGCGCAAGTGTTCGCTCTGGTCTCGCTTCATCCGTCCGCATCTTCGTGTAGCCCATCGAATGCAGTCTGCTGTGTCCGAATCCAATTGGCTTCTAACCTCCGAGCTTTACTTCGCGCGCCTTCTCGGACTAGTATTAACTAGTCCTACAAATTGGTGATCCCGATTCGCACGCGGGAATTCAACTTCTGCCTCATTTGCATTTTTGTGAGTTCGTTCATCTTTCTCTATTATATACCTGAATTTATTTGTCGCTTGCGGATTTTAGTAATTTTATCGTGTTTTTGTCTAGCATTTATCTATTCGACGCACATGTCGAGAGTGATTTCTGTGTCGTTTCGCAGCGCAAACATGCTTAATTTGTGAGTTCCGAGTTTCATGGAACACAGCCCAAATGTTTGGTTTATGATGTTCGGGATCGAACTGGAAAATAAAGGCATTAATGCGGACCGTCCAAGGTGCAATCAACCAGTCCCACGCCTTCCTTTGTCGTTTTTGACCCTGGTTGAGGGCATTCTACTCTGCCCATCGAATGAGGCAAAGTACGAAAAGCTTCATATTCAAATGGACTGAAAAGATAGGCAAATCCCTTGGGTTTTCTTTCTTGAGCAAATAGTAGAGCCAGGAAGTGATAAGGTGCTAGGTCTTGATAGATCTAAAACGTACCACCCGAAACACCCTGATCGACCAATTTCCGCCCACGTTCCCTGCACTAGCAGTCCCCGCTGTGCAACTTACTTGAAGTGAGAAAGAAGTAGAAAGTAAACGGAAGATAAAGAGGAAGGAAAGTCATTCAAATGAAGAATAACATCAAAGAGTGAGGAGAATGACAGTATATGTACTCAAACTTGAGGATGGATATGGTCAGGAGTAGGAAAGGTTTCTTGTCGCTGCCCAAGAGGGTCTAACTGACGTTCGAAACCCTCAACCGTTGGTTTACTGACCACACTTTCTGGAAGCGAGTTCCAGCGCTCGGTAACTCTACGCGATAACCGAGTTCCCGCCCTGATCAGGTCAGAATGCGGCTTGTGTAGCTTCATGGGATGACCGCGAAGATAAGGCAAGCTAGCCGGGCTAAATAGCCACCTCAAGTCCGGTCCAACCTTCCCTGTTACAATGCGGTAAGTAAGGATTAGGTCTCCTCGAAGCCGTCGGTAGTGTATTGTATACATACCCAAGCTAAGTAGACGCTCGGGGTACGATTGCCCCCGTAACACATCGACCAATTTGGTACCTACTCTCAAAACCCTCTCGAGCTCCATTTTGTACGGAACAAGGCAGGGCGGGCAAGCCTGGATGCATTATTCCAGATGGGGCCGGACGAAAGGTGAGAACAGCTTCACAAATATGTCGGCAGTTAAGACCCCAGACGAACGGCGTGTTAACCACAACATTCTGAAGCCCCCACTTGCGGCATTCTTCCATTTGTCACCAGAATGCAAAGACGAGGAATAGACGACGCCTAGGTCTTCCTGGTTGGAGACAAGGGGGAGTTCGACCCCACCGAGTACGTAGCTCGAAGGTGGGAAAGTTGCTCCCATACGAAGGACGGGACACTTAGCCTGATTTATGGGCAGTAGCCACAAAGTAGACTAGTCCCAAAGTCTGTCCAGTGCGTGCTGTATGGCCTCAGAATCCCCAGAAACATATACAATATTCCAAAGCTTAATGTCATGGGCAAACAATAGGGATGATACCCTAAGCTCCCAAGGGAGATCGTTTACGTAGTTGGAGAACAGCATCGGTCCAAGGACCGAGCTCTGTGGGACACCGCCAAGGAGCGCTTGCCTAAAGGATAAGCTGCGACCCACACGTACACACTGCTCTCTTCCTTGCAAGAACGCAGATACCCAGTGAAGGGCGCGGCCAGATACGCCATAGGAGCTCAGCTTTTATGAAAGCATCAAGTGGGGTACCTTATCAAATGCTTTCCAAATGTTTACGAAAAGCACATCCACTACGCGGCCATTTTTCACTGCCTCGGCCCAAGCTTCACGAGCAACCAACAAATTCGTCAAACACGAAAACCCATTCCGGAATCCATGTTGTGCACTACTGAGTAGATTAGATCTATTCAGGCGACATACCAACGAACCGCTCACCAGCTTTTCAAGCAGTTTGACCACGACACTAGTCAGACTTACTGGCCTATAATTGGCTGACAGCCTCCTGTCGTCATTTTTGAAGATAGGACAGATGGCAGCCTCTTTCCATTCAGATGGTAATGTGCAGCTGTCAAGTGACTTCCGAAACACCATCGTCAGTGGTCCACTTAGTTCCCCCGCTATGTCATGCAGAAGCTCCTGCTGATTGTGTCAGGTCCAGCTGCTTTGGAAGGTTTAAGTTCTTGCAGCAGTTTAAGGACTTACGTTTCCACCACTGTAAACTCAGCTAAATAAGTACCCTCCGGTATTCTGGGAACAAGTTCAACGCTAGCCAAAGCGGCCTCACTTACGAAAGCCCCTGCATACTGTTCCCCATGTACACGAGCCTTATCTGAGTCCGCATACGCACGAGTTCCGTCGGTCTGCATCAAAGTTGGAATTACCCCATTTGAACCACAGCGTCTCTTAACATTACCGAGGAACAGCTTCGGATTTTCCGAAGCGCCATCAGCCAATTTCTTTTCGCACACCGTACGAGCTTTCCTTAATTGTTGTTTACACCTATTTATGGCCTCGCGATATCTATCATAGGTGTTAATTGATGAAGCCGCACAGTAGGTCCTCCAGCACCTAGAACGCTTCAGGAGCAATTACTTGCAGGTGGTATCTATCCACGGCGGCCGCGCTGGTGTCTCCTTCCTCTTCGCAAGCGGGATGTAGGCAGTAGACGCTTCCGTGAGATGAGATTTAAATTTATCCCAGGCCGCCTGAAGCGTATCAACCACCGAGATTTCGCAACGCATCCCAGCAGCCTTGATATGCATTGCCTGAAGTTAGCACGCCATTTGTTTGGAAATGGTTAAATAATGCTCTGGTGACGCCTGGTCAGAGTACAACTGAAAGATAAACAAACATGATCAGTAGCACCTAAGGGAGAGCTTTAAGTGTTGTCACCTACGAAGTCTAGTGACTTCGCCAACACAGGATCCAAAATAGCCGGGAGTTGGGCGTCCATGTATCTAGTGGGTAGGTCCACGATCTGATGCAACGGTATTTGTAGCGTAAGCTCAAGAAGATCTGCATCGAAAGTTCCTTCCACTGAGTTGCAAGAGATATCTGCCCAGCAAAACTCTGGTAGATTGAAGTCCCCCAGTATCAAAAATCTGTTTGCGGATTGGGAGCTAATAAAGTCAAGCACCTCTTTGGACGCACTCCCAGGGCTTGTTTACACAAGTAAAATGTAAGTTGAGATAATTAAGAGTTAATCACTACCGACAGAGCTTCGACAGTTTTATCTGCCAACTGAAACATGTAGATACGTGAAACGTCAAGTTCACACCTAACGTA